TTATACTTATATAAACCTTAAACATACTTATATAAGCCTTAAACATACATTCCATACAAAATATAGCACTGAAGCAACTTACGAACGAATTCACCTAACGAACGATCCTTCGGAACGTATCTCGTTCGTAAGCTGGGGAGCGTCTGTACACTTATTTGACACTTCATATAGTCAGTGCAGAAAGAAAAAAAGGGAAAGAAATTGCGAAATTTACAATCAGCATTCACTTTCACTTACATCAATTTCTTGGATAATGTCTTTTATTTTGCCTCCTCCGTCTTTCATTTTGATCACTTTTACCCTCTCTTCCAGCGTCAGAGCTCTTCTTGTCTTAGCTGCTTGACATCCAAAGGTCCTTTTTGTAGCCATTTTAGCAATGCAACGTTCTTGCTGCGTCTGAAACTAACAATAACAAATACTTCCTGGACTACTGTGCATGTGTAAAACAGTATGGTTGTTGCTGTTGCCGTTTCCGAACGAAGCAGTAGAGGTCGCTGTTGGATTAGACTTCGTTGTAGTTAATCTCGTCTCGAGGCAAGAGCAGAGAAAAAGATTTCATATAACGCAATAGGTTTTTTTTTCGTTGTATGGGGGGCAGAAAAGTGGGAATGGTGTGAATGCATGAAGATTTTTTCACACTAGGGGGTATTTTCGCCCATGTAGGTTTCGTTGTAGAGGAGTTTCACTGTATTTTACAATATGACTCAAGTCAAATACAGTCCTCCAAATACAGTAGTTACTTGGGTAAGTATTTGGGCTGAGCGATTTTGAAAACTATAGAATTGTACCGCCCTAGAGTAAATATGAAAATTCAGAATAATAATATAACCAATTTATTGTCTGTGGGCAGTCAACAAAGTGACTGAACTTGTTTTGCAGAACTGTCCGGAGAGATTTCCATGAGGCCGTTTTCAATACAAAAACAAAAAGCCGGTTGCCAGCTTCCACATGCGTTTGGTTTTCAGACATGACTCAACAAGGCAGCACAGAGTGTTCGACATATTCCAAACGTGAACTCGTGAGTAAAGAGTGAGTAAGTGAGGCAACTGACTTGGAAGAAGAGCAGCTGCTTCTCGGGGCTCCAGAAGAACGGATGCTTGAGCACGCGGGCGGACGAGGGACGAGACTCCGGGTCCGCGCTGATCATCTGCTTTATCAGATCCTCAGCCACAACGTCTTCTGATGAGGCATAACATTGCTGGAGGTTAGTCACTGGAATTGCGTAACTGTCCACCGGACAACAAGGTGACCGTCATAAGAGGGTTAAAAATATATTTATTAACACATGCTATGATGATTTAACAAGATTTCACCAAAACAACCAATTATCATCATAGATGTACTCACTTTTGATTTTAGCATCAGGGTCAAACATTCACCATTACATGTTAAAGCCGCTTGTTTAGAACGGGTGTAATTCCAGTGTTGATCACTAGGGAGCAGCACACTTGTTTGGTTTGAGACCACATTTGAAAGAATAAAATATGAAGTGTTTTATTGATTGTCATTTGCGCAATTTTGCTTTTTACGCCGACAAAAAGTGACATCTTCGGTCTGATAATTGTTTTATATTGTGCAATGATACGATTTTTATTTTGGATTTTGTTTTACTGTAAACAGTGAAATCTATAACGTTTGGACAGTGACAATTGACTCGACGTTATTTCTGTGACGCGCAGCTGGTATGCTTGCTTTTTGCTTTAAAATCTCCTAACTTCCTTAATTCTTTACTGATTGGCAAAATCTAAACATCGTTTAGATCTTTTAATTCAGCTTTTTTGTGTTTTATCCATTGCTCCCACTTTCAGTATGTGTTTAAATGTGTTTATTTAAAAGTGTTGAAAGACATGTAAAAAAAAATAAGTGCCACAAATGCTGAGAAATATGCCTAGAGGGTATTTCGAAATTGCTGATTTCACTTATTGTGAGGTGGGTATGAAACATAACCCCCACGATGGAGGATGGATTACTGTACTGTATTTCATAAAAACATACTCTCATGATAATTATACATAATCTAAAGAATAGAACAGTTTGTGTCTCACGTTTTGCCTCAATTCAATGGACATTATGCCACCCCGAGAGTGCACACCTTAGTAATCCGGAAGCAGTACAATACAGACATACAGATATCAATTTTCTACTACATGTCAGGATAATCTAGCGGAGTTGAACGCTAAATTGTGTGGTCATTTTAAACACAAACCCAGGTTCTATAGGCTGAGACAAAGTCAAGAAGGCAAGTCAAGGTGCAGTGGAAGAATGCATGCACAGTGAGGTAATAAAAACCGTGGTAAAATTCTTCCAGATTTCTCAAAAAAGGGACAAAAGCAACAGACACAAGCACACAGCATCTATCCTCACCATGTATAGTATCCATGAATTGCGAGAGTGAATATTCGCCAGACAGGATGTTCATTTGCCGCATCAGAGTCTCGCCAAACGGGTGTTTACCCCTGCTGACCACGTAGTAGAACACGCAGCCGGCTGAGAAGATGTCCACAGCAGCGGTCTAGAGAGAAGTGGGGGCGCTGAGACGTCCAGAGAGGAGGAGGAAATGCACGTATGCGATTTGGTAGAAACGTGCGAGACTCACCGGTTTGCTGGCAGGAACGTTCTGCAGCATCTCGGGAGCGATCCAGCCTTCGGTGCCCAGTATGCCCGAGCGTAACGAGAAGCTGTTCCGACCATCCTGGATCTTTTTGCACAGACCAAAGTCGGAAATGAGAGCTCGGACCTTCCCCAGTGCGCAGGGAAAGGAGAGCAGGATATTTCGAGGTTTCAGGTCCCGATGGACTGGATGAAGGCGAAAAGGGAGAAGAGCACTGAGGCCATTTATTCTGTTTTTATTTACTTCAGATTCAAAATTGACATTCTTGTTGCTCTCTGTGATTCGCTGTCGTTTTGCTGACTTTCACTGCCTGTCGCGGGCTTTTTGCAGCATTTTCGCATGTTTTTTTTTTTTGTTTTTTTTTAATGAATAGGTTTGAAAAAATCCGCGTTGCGCCGAGGCCGCGATAAACGAACCGTGAAATAGTGAGGGATCACTGTACATCACAAATTTGAGGCTTTGTGTTTTGTGCAGTGCAAACCGTTTATTGTAAAAATACTCCAGCTAACAAAACTTACATACAATGTATGGGGGAAAAAATATATATTTTTGTCTATGGGCACCGGGACTTGGACAACAAAGCCAGGCTCCAATATGAGCCAAAAAGGCGCACGCGTAGGCTACGTGGTGTAGCTGATAAGAAGGTGTATGGACTCGTTTACAGCTGGGGAACCAAGATAGCAATAGTTTTAGCAAAACCCACCCGGATGACTGGCAATGTTCATGCATTTTTTTCCCATTAATGTCAGAGAAGGCGATGCTGTTAAACAATACATATACTGTACTATTTATTCGTTCTTTTTGAAGAATTTTGGGCTTTCAATTTTCTTTTTTTCTAATGCATTCTCGCTATGGCGGGGATCGACTGTAGAGTAAATATAAATCGATATACTGCTCCATCTTCTGATCAAAGCAGTGTTTTGGGTTTTTTCTCTTCAAACACGCTGACGGATCCCAAAAATCCAGATCATATAAAGCCTACTAACAAGATATTGATCATATTAATTATTTTTTAAAAATACGGTCTCGTTCAAGGTCACGGGTACCCTGGAGCCCATCCCAGCCGAGACTGGGCAAAGGGCGGACTATACCCAGGACTGATTACCAGTTCGTCACAGGGCACGTATAGGATTGAACAACCACTTTTTATTATATTAATCCAATCCGGACTGATTACCAGTTCGTCACAGGGCACGTATAGGATTGAACAACCACTTTTTATTATATTAATCCAATCTATTTATCGATTTAAAAACTTTGGTTTGTCATATTACAGCCTAAGTGTGCGTGTGTGTGTGTGTGTGCGTGCGTGCGTGCGTGCGTACGCACGCGCGTCACAAACCTATATTGAGCGAGTGGAGGTGTGAGAGGCCACACATAGTCTGCTCCAACAACGTAATTGGATTCAAGTCAGGAAAATTTGAGGGATCCTCCACATACTGCAGACAAAAACAACATCAAAAATATACACTCCAACTCTATTCTGTCATTTTTGAACAACATTTTGGAATTCATAAAGATTAAAAGTGAGAGATAGTTGTGGGGGGGAGAATCACGGTAGGGCAAACACACTGACCTGCTGCAGGGTGGCGGCGCACAGCTCGATGGCGATGTACGTGAAGAGGTTATCCCTTTCCGTGCAGAAATACCTGATGACGTTGGGATGCGTGTCGGACTCTCGCAGGAGCTGCACTTCACGCTCTGCCACCTCCAAACACTCGGGGAGGATTCGCTTCACCGCGGCACGCCGTCCGTCAAAGTTGCCCCTGGGTCGGGTGCAACCCGACGTTCGAGGTAAGTGATCACTCGGTGGGCATACGCGGCCACTTTCAAACATACCTGAAGACGAATGTTCCCGAGCTGCCGCGCCCAAGGGCTTCGGATGTGGTGAAGGAGATCTTACCCAAGTGCACCTCCTCGCTGTTTTCTGCTGAGAGAAATGAACAGCGGTAAATTCAAAGTCATCGGCCGGATCGAAAGAAAGTAGCACGCAGTTGGGCTGCTACCTGTGGCGGTATGAAGCCCCGCCGTGTCATTAGCATCCACACTTGAGGCTGCGCTGTTGTCAAGTAAAGGAGTTAAAAGAGTGTCTCCTGCTGCATGCTGGGAGTCTGGGCAGAGAAAGAAGTAAATAAGTACTGTAGTCTTTTATCTTTTATTCACTCAGTGTTTGAGTTCTGTTCGGCACACCACAGTACAGTTTGAAATGGAATCCGGCATATGTTTCTATTGCAGGTTGAATTTTACTTTTATTTTTTTTTTTGCCTGGTCCTTTGTGGACGTGTAGTGCATGCAGCGCAACGTGACAATGCATGAATGAAACGCAAGAATAATTTGCCCCGTGTTTACCACTTGAGACGTTGGTGTTGGTAAAAAGGGCAGGTTCAGAGGATTCAAGGGTCGGCATCGGCGTGTTGGTCTGTGTGCGCTGGACGCAAATTTCAAACGCCTCCTCCAGTTGCTGCTGCAGAGCTTTGAGTTTCTTGGCTGCTCGCTGGTTAAGAAACATGACGGACGTCAGGGTCGAGATATCCAGAACAAAATGAATGAGGTGAGGGTGAAGAAGTCTCAAGTGGAGTGACTCACGGTATATGTGAAGGCCAACGCCAACCATCCTCCCAGCAGGACGGTGAGCACAGCCAGAGCCAGGCAGTCCTGCGTCATGTAGACGGTATGCACAGCGACCGACCTCTGGGAACCTCCCGATCCTCTCCTGTCGCCGGCTCCTCGGCCGTCTTTGCCATCGCTCTGGACAACTGGCCAGAACTGGAGGATTACAGAGACATGAAACAATGGGGATGGACATCCTTGAGAAAGGAGATATATGGCCCCCGGATAAGGACTCACGGGATACTGGTTGTAGCAGGAGGTGCGCGAGGATGGAGAGGTGGGGGATCGAGGAGGGATGATGGTTTCATCGGAGCGCGGCAGGCTGAGCCGGGATTCCCTTAACATGGTGGTGTGCGCTACTGGCGGGACCTCGTGGTGGCCTGCAGCACATTGAGGCCTTTAGAAGGATGGAGGCTTGGACTACAATTAATCAAATCCAAATCGACATCGGAATGTATGCGACTGCAATTTTCAAATTACAAAAGATTGCAATTTGGAAGGGGGGTGTGGGGGGGACTCCTCATTTCAGTCAGTTGATAGGCTTTTATACATACAGTTACGAAATTAATTGATTCTGAAAGAAATTTCATAACTAGAAAATATTGTAAGTAGAGACGTGTTTTCCATGTAAATGCCCTAATCCGTTCCAAGGCCTCTCATAAAGCACAAAAATGCATCAAAATATGTAACAAAAAATGTTACAGTTAGATTATTGCACAATAAATGAGAGTTGTGCATCATGTAAAAAAACAAAGAATAAAGAATAAAAATGATGGTCATTTGACTTTTAACTGCGTCCTCCTCGTTTTGTGCCGTCTTTAGTTCATGTTCTCTCTCAGAAGTGGTTTTTGCCTGGCGTTTTGTAAAGAACTGATCCAAGAACGTTTGCTTTTGTCGTCTTTTAACAACTCTGAGAAAATGTCCAAGGCAAACATTAGAAAAGTGAGCGATCGCCCGACTGGTGAACATTTTTTCTGGATGATTCACATTTACGTAAACAGATCAGAACGCCTCATGGCGTGGACACAAGACTGTGGTTGTGCTTTTCCCCATGGAGAGTCGCTTGAGTCGGAAACACTAACATTACACTAAATATTAAGCAGTTTCTTCCATTTTTAGCAGTAGTAAATACCAGAAGTACATTTATTCAATTATTTGAATTACTTCTGTGTAATTTCCTCCGAAATTGAAAGAGATGCATTCCACGAGTATGCGAGTACCTATTAACAGCCAGTTGTTTTTGCGGCTGCTGGTGCTGCCAGGAGGATAGCGCACATCAGTGGACGGCATGATCTCACACTCCCCTTGCCCGCTGACCGTCACGCCGGCCGTCTCGGGACCTTCAATCCGGCCCAGGGTCAGACCTCGATGCTGCCATGGAAACGAGAGCCCGTCATTGAGTCCGCCCGTCACAGCACGTGCATCGAATGCGGTATCGCATGACTGTTGCTAGGCGAGACTGGGAGCCGTCGCCACCAAAACTTGGCCCGAATGGTCACGGAAAATACATTTGTAATTCAACTCACCACTAAGGAGAATCCGTGGTGAACGAGGGAAGAGGAGGCATAGAGGTGCGAGTCCAGTTTCCCAACATAGAGAGTGGACCTTAGAGAGACAGTAAAGACAGTAAAACATGGAATTTTATCCTGTTAAAAATTAAAAATGGTTATATTTCAAAATGTCAGTTTACAAATACTCATTGTGAGTCGCTGAAAATGGGAAAATTCAAACTCCAGGTTTACACTTCAGTCACACGTTTTTATTGTTTTGCATTTATTTTTTGCAGCGGTCGGCCTGCCTCCTTTCCAGCCCGAGTTTTCAACTTTCCGAAATGCAAATTCATGGGTCCCTGGAGTGCCTCTCCAACCAGTGTATCATTTCAACAACCGAGTCAATCTTTTCTTGTATGACTTGTTCTTGAAACACGTCTGTGAGCGAGCAACATTCACCGCAGTACTGGAAGCGGAGGAATGAAAATCACCTGGCCTGGAGGGAGCTTCCTGACATCACTCACAACAGCACAAAAAGTTGCAGACGTGTCGCCAGATGCTTGTTTTTGGAAAACGGTCATTCAATGGAGCGACAAAGTTATCACGTTGGCAACAATGAATGACAAGCCGCGCGGTCTGTCACAAGCCTGACTTGCGGACCCACAGTTGTCACGGTAACAACAGCCGTACTGAGACCAGACATAAAAAAAATGTGCCACGCCAAAATGGAGTGATTTGAACCAGCGTGACACACATGAATGTCACCCAAGAACTCTTTTAACCCTTTCATGCACCCGGTAACCTGATAACGTGATAAGATGTGCACTGTCGTAACCGCTGTCCCTGAATGATTTAAGAATACTGTACCTTTGGGATATTTTGAAATTAATTGGTAATTTGTGGCTTTTTTTTTCCCGAAAAAAGAGAACATTATTTTGTCATTATAACAGAGTGACAAGACAGTGACAAATCATTTCCAAAATTCCAATTGTGATTTGCTCATATGCACGATTTCAGAAAACATTCAACATTCAAATGCATAACTTCTGCTGAATTTGTGTGACGCGTTATAATGGTGGGATGTTATCGTCAAACCTGCCATTTGACAAATGTCTTCCTGGGATTCCTTTTTAGTAAACTCCAAATTGCTGCCGTAAATTCTGATACATTAATGGGTTTGCACCTTTTAAATTGCACTGACAAGAAAAACTTACGACTCTCACATCGTTAATTGCACTTATGTCGTGTTATTTTGCATGCGCGCGTGACACTTACACAAGTTGGGTTTGTGTGCTAGCTTGCTCCTTCACAAACTGATAGCTCCACTTCAGGGTGGAGTGGGCATCCGTCTGCTTGCCGGCGACGGGGGAGGAGAAGGTGAGGAAGCGCAACGTCTCAACGGCGAGCGACAGGTGGGGGGCGTGTCTGAGCGAGTCACCCGAGTACAGGTAGACCCCCACCACGGGCGAACCGTAGTCCTGACTCCAGAGCACATCACCTGGAGGAAGACGAGTTGGAATCTCACTCGGTCTGAAGCGGGAATAAAGATGCATTTTCCAAATGGAAGAAGTCCTTACCTGACTCCCTGTCAACGGTAACCACAAGGCCGTCGCCACTGGACACGAGATGAGCCATCCCTGGAGGGAAAACGCATACAGAAATACATACTTTTATTTATTATCTAAGTGTGTGTTTTTTAATGAGTTGTATGTGGATTTCCCAGTGGATCAATACTAAAAAAAAAAAACAACTTATTTTAGGTACTGGTTGAAAAATAATAATAATGTAGCGACATCACTCTCCAACTGTACCTAAAGAGAGCGGCACCTTTTTTCGGCGTGTGCGCATGATGGACAAATAAGGAAAAAGAATTGGCTACAGATTCTCTGCAGACATTCCGCAAACAGTGGAACAGTTTTACACATCGGACGCCGATTACCCGCATGCTCGCCTTGGGTTAAGCAAAGCATTCGTAAGAATCAAACCACCTCAATCACAAACATAACGTCTTAGCGCTGTAATTCCAAGTCGTCCGGTTTATGAATCAGAATCTTGCGATGTGAGGTATAAATACCCCTTAGCGGTAGCTTACGATGGTGATGGCAAGCATTAGGAGTAGCACTTAACGGTAGTCGAGTTTCTCATCGTAAGGCAGAGCGGAGTAGTCGTTGTACGTGGCGTTCCATCGCAGTTCCTGCTTCTTGGTATCAAACATGGTGACCATGTACTCTGCAGAGGGGGAAACACAAGCGCAGCTACTACTATGAGGGGAATGAAGACGTGGTGAAAAATCTGTGCATGCGTCAATGTGCGTTCCACCTGTGCGTCCGAGGTAGAGCAGGGGAGTGTTGGCACACATGGAATCAGACGAGGATGTGGTTAGACTAGTTTGCTTTGCTCCTGTTTCAGGATCCATTACAAACCACACATCCTGCTTTTTGCCTGTGAAAAAAAAACAAACAAAAAATGTTCTTTTGGAACCCCACTCATCAGAATCACAAGTATCCTATGACCCCACAAATAGTCTGCGAGATGAATTTTCCTTTTTTTGGACTAATGTACATTGTCTTTGTACATAAATGTAACAATATATCTCAATATTTTTTTCTCTTATTTTGAAAAAGACTTAACTGCTTCTAACGAAGACTGAAGACTTAGATATGGCCTGAAATACATATCACCGTATAAATAGAATCTCTCTGTGGTCATGGGGAGCGTAAAAATGTAGAAATCAGAGTAGAAGTATTTCTGAATGTTTCATTTAAAAGATGAAATGGGCATATTTCCTGTCAAAAGTGGTCACAAAGTATCATAATTATTCTTCCCTCCACTTATTTCCATTTAAATTTGCCATGTTCATGTAAATGTGTACGCTTTTCTTTGATGGAATGAAATCAATTGGGTTTTCAAGCGTGATTAGAAAGTAGCTGATTTATGTTATCTCTAGATACTCAAACTGTAATCATCATTTGCTGTTCATATCTGGTTGCTCTCCGCCTGAACGCAGTTCCAGCAAGACTTCTGTGACAAGTGTACTTACTGTACACCTTATTCTGGGCACTTGCAACATTGCATTTCACATTAATTTAGCAGTTAGCATTAGCTTCTCCATCTTCTCAGGTTCTATCTTGTTACTCTGCGTATTTGCATACTTAGCCACTTTTAGTGATAGCGTTACTTGTTACTCGTTACTTGTTACTAGTTACTTAGAGGAGAAGATCCAAGCCGCGCAGCCCGTAGCGACCCCCCCCATATCGGTCCAGTGCAAGTTAGCTTAAAAAAATAAAAAACACATCTTTGACGAGTACAAAATCCTTTTGTCTGATATCCTGATATCCATCCCAAAAATGATAAATCATTCAGCCCTACTCAGAAGAGGGGGAGGTTTAGCGGTTGACAGGTGGGTTATTTTTTTTCGGCTTGATTTAATGGTTCCATGACGAGGGGGTGGATGGTTTGCGTGCACCTCACCTGTATAGAGGATGCCATCAGAGCTCCTGCACGGAGCCGACTGAACCAGCTCTGGAATGGTGAACGGAAGTTTCTGGAAAACACATTGCCAAAACAACATTATGAATTGAACACACTATCTTCTCACTTCATTCCTCACCATCAGGCCTTCTTTGTGCTTGCCACCGAATATATATAAGCTGCCGTCGTTGGGGTCCGGGAGAAAACTTGGCCTGGGAAAAAAGAAAAAAAATAATAAAATTTAAAAAAAATTGTGTGTGTGTGTGTGTGTGTGTGTGTGTGTGTGTGTGCGTGTGTTACTGACTCTGTGATGTTGATGGCCACTTGTATAACAGGATCTGACAATAAAGGGCACATTTATTATAAAACAGTCAAATATAAGACATAACAGGAGAACTCCCTGTTATACAAACCTTCTCTTAGGGTCCACTTGATGTCTCCCGTCTGTTTGGAGACAGCATGCAGACTTCCGTCCAGCGTGGAGACAAACAGAAGGGATTCTGGGAGGGAGACCGCCTTGCCCCCCGCCAACTGATGGCCATAAACAAACACATGAGTGTGCATATGGGAGTGGCAGGTCCTCAAATCTTTCTACTCCATAAAATATTGCAAGTTCCTTATTTAGCAGGATATCCTGACAAACACCCATCCCATGTTTACCTACAACCTGGTCAAAACTCTCATCTACACAATTGTGCAGTCCATGGACCAGACCCTGACATGACGAGCAAAAAAAAAAAAAAAAAAGAGGAATTCATGTTACCTAAAAATGTATTTGCCGACGGATTGAAATGAAACAATGTTTTTCCTTTTTCAAATTGTAGCTTTTATGATTTGGACATTGTATTCTATTTCACTTCGATGTCGATTTAAATTTGATTAATTCTTCAGCCATTTTAGCGAATAAAGGAAAATGGGTACAAAAAACAAACACCGAAAAGTGAAATTGCAAATATTGAGTTTTCCTACTGTTTGTAGCATGCACAATTGCAAGACACTATTGTTATGTTTTAGTTGCTGTTGTTGTCGTGATTAGAAATTATACGATCAATTATGTGGCGGATGGATGACTCAAGAGAGTAACACCACTGACTTCCGACGCCGAGGACTGGGGTTCAAATCCCCGTTAGAGGGAACAGTAGCATTCAAATGGATTCATCGCGGTTCGGTGTTTCCCCAGTTGTCGCTATGTTGCGTCAGAAAGGGCATTCAGCACAAAAACTGTGCCAAATATGTCATGCGAGTAACTAGCTGTGGCGACCCCTGACTTAAAGGACTGGGCCGTAAGTCAAACAACAACAACTACAATAAATTATGCCCAATGACAACTTTGAAGTGTTGCTTGAAATAGCCACAGAAGCCCAGCGGAACGCCTGTTAATCGTAGCACACAAACAACATTAAGTGACAACCACATCAAAGACAGTTAAAAAGATCAAAAAAATCACCTGCGATATTTTGACTTCCCACGAGAGAAGCAGAAGTAGGCACAACAGCAGGCGCTCCAAAGCTCCCATGACACCCACCTTCTCCTCGAGGCTGCGAACTGAACTCAAAACCAAAGGTCGAATTGCCCCTTGAAATCCCAGTGCGGGGGGGCCACACGTAACGTCATTTCAAACCCTCCGTGTCGCGTCAAAGAGGTGGACATGTCACCGTTTTAAGATAGCGCCATCGTTTTCGAGTTGTCTGAAAGCGCAACGCAACGGTCAAATACGCGTTTCCGTGTTTGGGACGACCAAGTGACGTCATAACACCAAGTAGGAGGGAACATTTTTTTTTGTTTTGAATGACACTGCGCTCACGGCCAATGAGAGAAGCGATAAGGAGCTGGAAGGGGCGGGGTTGAGGGAAGCGTCTGGAACACGTGCTAAAAGGCAGAGCAGCTGTGGACAGTGTCACAGTGCGCCGTTTTGTGCAATAGAAAGTGGTGGAGCCATTCATTCTTCACTTTGTAACCTTACATTGACCCACGCACATTATTTCACAACAATTTAGCCCAGTATGTGAAGGCTTAGTTCAGTTCATTTGAAACAAAAAAAGTCTTCATTTAAGACAGACCTGTTAAAAAGGGCGTACTTTTCTCTTTGGGGGCAGGCATGGATTTTTTTTCCAAATGGGGTTCTTGACGAATACATAGAAGGGGCTGATAAGACGGTTTGTAAACATTTTATAATAATAATTAAATGCTGGAGAGGCCGGGGATGATGCCACAATGGGGCCGGCGAGGGGGTGGGGGGGGGAGGGGGTCAATAGCCCTGTCAGAAATCCGCATGCCCCAGTTAAGCCCTTCCATCATTTTATTTGATCTTCTAAAATATACTTATACATTATTTTCACAGCCCCGTATGTATTGCGAGAGATTTAAAAAAATAATGCAGCCATGCCAGGGAGGAGTTTAACTGGGGCTACACAAATTTCTGATGGGGTTACAGCACCCCTGATTTGCGGCAAATTTGGTCACAAGATAAACCCGCTCATGGATTCACATCAGTTATCAAAAGATTTTGATTGTTAATGTTCATCATAATCATTAACTAATGTTTGAATTTGAGAAAACACTCCCATTTCCTGAGTTATAGAAAGCCCCTATAAAATGAAATCATTGATATGTTTCAAAATCATCATACATCATCATATCCGTCTGATGATAATAGCTTAACACGTGCAAAGAAAGACTGTAGTACTGAATTGTGGAGCTACAGTGTTAAACTGTTTGTTGTTTTTTTGGCTGTGTTAATTGACACGCATCCAGCATGAGTTACACCTCCCTCACTATATCATCTATGATGTACCACTACAGTATTCATCTAGCCAGCTAATGACGCCTACACCCTGAAAACGCATCTTCCATGAATGCCACAATTTACCGAACAACTCAGTCTCATTATTTAAACAAGAAGGTGACACCCACCTCTCATCCACGGGTAAAGAGGAGCCTAGGAAGGCTAGTAGCACACTAGCTAGCTGGTGGCTAGGACCTCTCATCACGGCAAGGACCCCCCCACCCCCGTGGCATATATTATTGCCACCAGTGTTTGCAAATCCCTGCTCACCTAACTATAAGTCCGTCACTTTGTGTTATCGTGGAGAAGTGGTTAATTAAACTGACAATAAGATACTGTTTTTCTTTTCCAAACTATTCTGAAATGCACTGGCCTCAGTAAGTTCACTTTCAACCAAAGTATGCCAACGTCAAATAGTTGCAATCGCATTTTTTTTTATTACCCTGCAAAATATGTCTCATATCTTTCTCTACCTATAATTTATCAAGAAACCCATCAAAGTGCTTTAACATGGGCAAATGAAGTGTCACAGAGTAGCTTTTAAGTGATTTAGCTGCATCCATTCCCAAGTGAGACAAATATACAAAAATACGGATGGAAGACTGGTAGGCACTTGTTGTCTCATGAGGTATTTGCTCAAACAAACAGCATTGCAGACAAGGTCTTGAAAAGCTTTTTTGGGGGGTGGTGGATGAGAAGCGGCCTACTGGTGGTGTAGCACGCCGTCTGGTTTGGGGTAGCCAAACAGCTCAAAGTCTGGTTGGTAAAGCTTGTACAGTTCTGTCCTCATTGAAACAGGAATTTGGGCAAACCAGTCCCTTTCCCAGCTGGCTGCCGTTCGGTTTCTCGCCCCCGAAGGGAACCGCAGCAGATGATCCACTTGCAAAAGCTTGAGAAGATGCTCGGCATCAGTCTCCAGCGTTTCCAGTCGCCCGATGAAGTCGTACTTCACCTGGCACGGATGGCAGAGACGGTAAACCTAAAACGCATAAAAACACATGCATTTTGAAATACAATACATTTCAATTTAATCAATCAATTCATCAATAAACGGACTACACAACTAACTCATGATAGTAAACGCTTCTCAAATATGACCATATGTCCAGCGCTTGGGAGGATCGTGGACTGGACCTGGAGCCAATATATATATATATATTTTTTAATATCTTTTATGTCAATCAAATCTAAGCATTGTTATATTTGCACGACAGATATATATTGCTATTATACGTACATCCTTATTTGCTCTTCGAGGTATTCAAAGTTGGCTACAAATGGTTCATTCTTGCAGCTAATGAGCATAAAATGGTGCCTTTAAGTGCTGCACCTGTCAAAACAATGTTTACAAGAGCACACTGTACACTTTATGGCAATAATATAAAGTAGTAGAACGGAAACGCATGCATGATGTCACTGGTACACTGGTGTGGTTATTTACGAATGACCACGCAGTGGTGGGAAGTCAAAAAGTACTGTGCTCATATTTTACTGTGTTTAAGTAGAAGTATTTGTACTTTACTTGACTAATTATTTGTTTTGGCAACTTTTTATTTTCTCAGTGGTGCCTTCTTTTTCAGATTTTTTTTGCTTCAATTCCATGGACATGGTGTGCATGCCATTGCCACAAGAGGGCAATATAATGCAGACATACACACACATGAAGCGGCGTCTCACAACTGACTTTATACGTTGCAGTAATATTTGTCATTATTCACAAAAGAAAAAAAATATAAGCCTGTGAGTGATGTTAAATATCCTGTGGCTGCACTGTTACCGTTCAAATATTTTTTGCTGAAAGGGTCACAACTTAGTGGCACAGATGCTATTAGTTAGGCCGTCCGTGTATGAAGCTTTACTCTTGTTTTATTAAGACAAAGCTACGGGGTTGTTTTAAAAACACAAATAAAAATTACATTTGTTTTATGTTTAGTTTGAGAGTAAAATTCAACTGGGAGAGGCAATAAACAGCTTGAGGCTTCTCTTTTGGAAATAAAAATGGTGGCAAAGCTCTGGGTACAAGGTTTCATTGCGTAACAGCCGAGTTAGAGTTGGCTGGGGCTTGGTTTAAAAAAACAACACGCGAGACTAAATGTGATTTTAGCAGGAAACTATTTTGTGTGCAGAGAAGGTTTTTTTTCCCTGTTGTTATCAAAAGGATGGGATGTCCCGTAAGTGACAGTATTTTACATGCACGTCATTACTTTTACTGAGGTACAAGAGTGGAATCACTAATTCTACTTTTACTGCTTCATTTTCTGAACCATGCGCATTTTTATTTTATTTTTTTTTAACACAAGTAGTTATGCTGTACGTCTACTTTGAGCGTGAGTACTTTTGTGACTGCACACAAGGAGGTGCTGGCTCAACTCGAATGCAAGGTACTACCTGGCGCCAGTGCTCATTGAAGATGCTCTCCTTCTCCGTCTCGGCATCCAGCAGGTACGAGACGAACTGCTGGAAGGTGGGTTTGATCCCGGCCGCAAAGGCCTCAGCGGCCGTTTCCGGCAAACTGCCCGAGAGGTTGCCGTAGCGACGCAGGATGACCGAGCCAAACTGGCGGTAGAAGTCCTCGTTGGGCCTGATGGTCACAAAACAGGTTGAATAGCTCACTCATGCGTCCCGGCATGGCTGTGGTCGTCACACCTTCCAAATTTGTTTCTGAAGGCCGAGATGAGGCGGACAAAGGGGTCGCGTACAAACAGGAACTTGGTGTAGTGCTGGAGCTTGAGCGCCATCAGGTGGCGGGACAGAGAGCCGTAATGGCGCCAAAACCTGGTGGACACATGTAAAATGATGGTTCACATTTTTTGTATTCGTGTTGCCACACATATTTATGATTCTGCAGTCACAATTTTTTTGCCATCCTGTTATTCACTTAAAAATTTACCTATGTGCTGTTTTTGTGTATTCACTCATGTTCTTTGATTTCTCCAGTGCCTTCAACACCATCCAACCCAACCTACTGAGGGACAAACTGCAGAACGCCGGAGTGGACCACCATCTCACAGCATGGATTATAGACTACCTCACAAACCGGCCGCAGTTCGTAAGGGTGCAGAGCTGTGAGTCGGACAGGCTTCTCTGCAGTACGGGAGCGCCGCAGGGGACTGTTCTGGCTCCATTTCTGTTCATCCTCTACACCTCGGACTTCAGACATGCCACTCCAAACTGCCACCTTCAGAAGTTCTCCGATGACTCTGCGATTGTTGGCCTCATTACAGAGGGGGACGATCGGGAGTACAAGCGACTGACGAAGGACTTTGTGGACTGGTGCCAGCAGTATCAACTCCAGATCAACCCTAGGAAAACTAAGGAGTTGGTTGTGGATTTCTGCAGGCAACAGTCCTCACCAGCACTGATGAACATCCAGGGTATGGACATAGAGAGGGTGACCTCCTACAAGTACCTGGGTGTTCTTCTCAACAACAAACTGGACTGGTCGACTAACACGGACACCCTGATCAGGAAAGGTCAGAGCAGACTTTTCCTACTCAGGAAACTGAGGTCTTTTGGGGTTCAGGGGTCACTCCTTAAGACTTTCTATAACTCGGTGGTGGCCTCGGCCATCCATTATGGCATTGTCTGCTGGTCAGGCAGCATCTCGGCCCGGGATAGGAAGAGATTAGAGCGACTAGTCAGGAAGGCTGGTTCTGTCCTGGGCTGCTCCCTCGACACTCTGGAGGAGGTGGGCAACAGCAGGATGCTAGCTAAGCTAAAAGCTATGTTGGACAGTCCCTCCCACCCCCTCCAGCCAGCCCTGACAGCACTCGGTAGCTCCTTCAGTCAGAGACTGTTACACCCGCGTTGCAAGACGGAGAGATACCGCCGCTCGTTCCTACCGACTGCTGTCAGGCTGCTGAATAAAAAATGAATAAATCAATAAAGCATAGAATTATTTAAATGATATGACAACATATGTGAATAGTACTGTGACTATTGTATTATATTGCACTTAATTATTGACCTTATCCATGTTTGTATTTATATTGCACTTAATTGAACTGTGTTTTCTTTTCTCTTCTTTCTACCCACAATCTTGCTGCTGAAGGCTGTAAATTTCCCCAGTGTGGGACAAATAAAGGATAAAGGATGTGCTGTTTTTGTGTATTCACAATTTCTTTTTTTAGCCATTATGTTATTCATTGAAATATCCACCTATTTGCTGTTTTTGTGCTCAGACCAAAGCCATTTCTAATTTAGAAGTATTGCTTCGGCGCCATCTTGCGGCATCTTGGTATCAAGGAACTAAGTTCAAGGCGAAGGAGCTTCAATTAGTGATCCTCTTCTCACAGAAAAAAATGCTTTGCAACCATCTTGTGACATTTATAATGTATTACCAAGATTTATAGGGGGCGGGGTTGTCAGTTACTCACATTCATTCATTATTTGCAGCAAGGCTCAGTTGCTAAAACTGTACAGGGAGCCAACAGTTATCACTGCATATATGTCCACAATCAAGGACTGCATTTAGTAGTTCAATTCTTCAACACAGCCAAACCACCTTCACTTATGGCTCATCAGCAACGTTAGCTGCTATATTAGCCCAAATAACATGCTAGCACAAACGAACGTAACAGTGAGAGCAAAGAAGGGCAAAAAAAATGTACACACTAGCACTTGACACAAATGATAATTAATCATTAAACTCACCTTTTGGCATTCACACACAATAATAAATGTTCAGGAATACGAGTAAACAGTAAGAGCAAACTAGAAAACAGGGAATATGTATCAGTAACTGCATCAGGAGGGAAGCAGAAATCTACAGTCACTTTTACTTTTTGGGTGGATTTAAGGAGCAAAACAAGGATGAACAAGGCCCAATTGGGTCACGGAAGGAGTCAGATAAGAGACAGGTTTTTCAGGGTCACAAAGTCCCGCAAATACAGAGACCTGCGGACACTAAATGGCGAAGAAAGCTCAGCCTGTGCCTGCTCTTTCCACTCTCCTCTTTCAGCTCAGTAAATAACTCATTTTTGGGCATGGAGAGTTGGCAAAACACGTACTCCAAGTCCTATGGTGGAAGCTTCACCTGAACGCTGCACCGAGGAAAATTCTTGTATTACGTCATTGAGGAATGGGTGAATTTACTCACGTGTCAGAGCAGGGGTTAGGAGCAATGTTGTTTTCATACAAACTGTCCAAGGGGACAACAATAATATTAAAAAGTCATTACTGTGCACTATTATATTTCTTTTTTTATTTTTAAATGTTTTTTAAAACTATGTCCAGAATATAATTATTTGACTTCATACTATATGCATCAGTAAACATTTTTTTTCAATGATGTCTTTCAATGTGAATATTCTCACTCGCATAGGAAAATAGCAACATTCTTTGGAAGTACATATCAATCCGAAATGATGAAAACTCCTCAGCCCAGGAAATGATCATCACTTCAAAGAAAAGTGATAATTACATGAAACAGGTTTTTCATTTGCGTGACTTTCATTTCCAAGCTCAGTAGTTCCGAAAAGCCTTATCGTAACCGTTGAAAACCATTTACAAACTTAATACATTTAATGGTGTAAATGGGTTACTTACTATCAAATTAAACTCTGTGAGAATGTATACAAATTTAGAATGAGTGAACCCTCATTGGACTGCATATGACAGAATTTTCCTTTTACGATATGTATGGAAAAAGTTTAAAATCCTTAGGACTGTTGTTACCAAAGGAAAAGAAATTCTGCTCTACCAAAACTTTTATAGGATCTCACTTAGGTCATGTTAATCCCTTGAAAGAGCTTGTTGGCCTTGGGCAGTGCTTCTCAATTGTTTTTTGTTACACCCCCCCCCCAGGAAGAAGAAAATATTTCACACCCCCGCCCCCCGCAACTCTCCGCTATGAATAACATTATTTGTCTGTAAGATTTCTGAAAGTAGCTAACACTCCTTGCGTACTGTGACAATGAGAGTGCCATTGCCATCTACTGTACAGGATGTGCAATTACACTCTATTCTACTACCCACAGCCCCAACAACAAAAAAACTATTCCCTGGAGTCACACACGCCCCCTCTGGCATCGCACCCCACGTCGCATTGTGATAATTTTTCAACTGTATCGACCAGACCTATTTTCCAACTTGATATCGGTATCTGTGATTGAGTATTCATACTGGTAATGGTCTAAAAAAACAAAACAAAACAAACAAAAAAAAAAAAGGAGCAATGAACATCCTTAATTATAATATATATTTCTTCCGGTTCCACGAAGAAAGTACACATTCTGAATTTGAACCTGGTCACTGAAGGTTGTCAATCATGTGGCATACTTGGCAAAAGTGAGATGCAGCGTGGAATTGTGTACGAGGTCCGGGGGAACCGACTCCGGGTCAGTGTAAGGCTTTCCTGAGACGGGCGAGACCAGAGACTGGGACAGGACCACCATCACCCTTTTCCAGTTGGTGCACGCCACCTGAACGGACATACAAACATCGTGGTTAATGAGTTATTCGGAGCGTTATTACATCGAGCAATTGTGACGATTGAGTTCAAGTGTTGGTGGGACATTCCACACACGTAAACGACGCCGTTAGCGTTTTCATCATGCGTTTATAAAATGGATTGATATGTGATTAAATGGATTGGAAAATATTTTTGGACCCGCACATTGAGCTGTGTCACATGTCTCATCATTCAGATTCTCTGGAGGCCAAAAGTAAGTCCACTCATCTTTTTTTCCGCATCGTTTATGATTGGTCAGCTAGCTAAGAGACGGGTTAAAATTTTGGCCCAATCTCGCTCGCTACATCATTTTTTTCAAAGTTCTTGGTTTATTTTTCAAATATATTTTTAGAGGCGCAACGAGTGATTGAGAAGTAATGGGTCATCAAATTAATCATTAATCATTATTTTGATAATGGATTAATCATTTTTATCATTTTTTGTAGTCATCCATGAAAGCAGACCCATTATTTCTGTGCTGAATCAAAATAAAACCATTTGCAAACATCTGCTGTTTACTAAAACAACAATCACCATTGTTGCCTTTTTTTTCCCTGACATATTACGCACCAAACCAGGAACGTCATTTTTATGAGTTTTTGCTTGTGCATTTTCCACGCTGTTAATTTGAAATAATGTCCAGTTTTTTTTAATCTAAGGATGGACATTAAACTAAAAAATAAATAAATAAATTCACTGACTCATTGACAAAATAATGGACAGATTAACTGATTATAAAAATAATCGTAGTACTTGCCCTATACGTGTTTTTCCATCACTTTAATGTGCTTCGTGTCAACATGCAATTTGCGATCTTTGGTGATTCTGTGACTCAAATTCAGAAATTTCAGTGTAATAAGACCATGACACAAAAAATGAGCTGCCTGAGATGTATTAAGAATCATATTAGAGTTGTTCAATATGCGTTTGCGTTGAGAAGGATGCAAATGCAAAATTATTTTGAGTTGTAAGAGGTCAAAAGCATTTCATTCGTGGTATTCTCTACCTTGGGCACGTAGCAGTAGATGATCTGATGCGTGTCATCCACTATCAGATGGTCCAATTCCCTGTTTGGGATCTGCTCAAATGCACGAGACCTTCCGGGAAAATCGTTCCCCGAACATACATCCATGATCCTCTGCTTCCTCGCCATCTGCTCTCGGCTTCCAACCGAATCCCGACTCTCGTCCCCTTCCTCATCCTCTCTTTCCAGCTGTGGCCGCTCTCTTCCCTCCTCCGCGCTTTTGTTCATCCCCGCCGGAGGCCACGTCGTACTGGATATTCTAACAGAGTATGCCGGGAGCGTGGGGGCCGGGAGCGGGCGCCCCGTGGTGCTCTGAGGGCAATGCTCGTGTTTGCGGTCCCGCAGAGGGTAGAGGTTGAAGCCGCCGACGTCGTCCCAGTAGGTGATGATGAGAAGGATCATGAACAGAGAGCCCAGGATGAACGCCACACGTAGGCCACGCCACGTTCCCATGGTTTAAAGTGCGAAAGCTCCAGGCTGGGCCGAGATTGGTGCAGAAAAGAGGAAGAGGTTATCTGAGCTCCATGGCGCAGGACGTCTATCGCGGAAGGGGACACTTCCTGCTCAGCAACTGCAGCTGAAACAAGCAGGAAATGTGATTTGAGAGTTTGGCTTCCTGACAACATAAATGGAGCAAAACTGGTCAAAATAGTGAGTGAGGTCACAGCAGTCTTTTGTGTCATAAATTGTGAATCAATGGAACACTGATGTTGCAGCGGTAATAGAACGAAACAATTCATTACATTCAATTTGACTGGAGTGGAATGCAAATTTCAAATCGTGAAGGCTGCCATTTAGTCATTTTGTTTGATCAGCAGCCTTAAAATATGATGTCTATCTATCAATATCAATATATATATATATATATATA